TTTATTTCATTATTTCAGATTTTACATTTTTTTCATTTATTTATTAATTTGACAACCTAACAAGAAAATAATGAGTTAAACAGTGGAATAAGTACTCCAGTGGTTAAAAACATTTTATTAAAAATTAGGTTAAACGCTTTCGGCTTAAAAAGCTATCATCAAAGCCATCCTTAAAGGCGTTACAAATTAATAATTAATAAAATACAGGGTGTCCCAATGAAAAGTAGGCCATTTTCAGAACTTATAACTTTTAAACAAATCGTAGAAACGTGCGGTTTTTGCTGATATGTGTTATTTTCCTATAAGTTTTGCTTCAGTGATACAGAAATTATGTATTACCTATACAGGGTGTTTTTAAAAATCTCTTCTTTTAAATTCACCGTAACCAAATTTTATCAAATGGAAACGGGCTACTTTTCATTGGGACACCCTGTATTATTGATCAAATACGACATTTGAATTTTGTTATTTAAATAAGTACATCACAAAGGGGGTTGGTAAAGGCACCAAACCCTCGTTAGGCCCATTAATTAGGTACTAAATTATTTTATTAGATTAATTAGTGAAAATTATAAAACCGTCTGCACCAGCGTGACGAACGACAGGTGACAGTCTTACCTATTTTGACATATAAATAGACTACTGACCCATGACAATGATAAATAGATAGGAACGTTTAAGAATGGTTCTGAAGTCCACCAGGTTAGACCATACTGTATCATCAAAAAACAAAACAAAAATATAAATACTCTAAGATGAACAGGAGGGTTATACTAGGTTTCTAAGGAACCATACAAAGGTCCGAAGAAACGCAAGGATATTTGATTTAGGAAACTAGAGTAGAATGAAGGGCACTGACTCTAGATCCATACTAGACCAGAGAACTTGAAGTTGCTAGACGTGATTAGACCATGGTTCGTACATGGCACCTAGTAAAAGAATGACAGGTAAATTAGAAAGAGTTTTTCAGAAAAGTGAAAGGGTATAGTAAAGGAAAAATTCTACCTAGATCCATACCAAGCAGCACCAAAGTAAAGTAAATATACCTATTTCGCCTTTTAAGATACAACTGTGTGCTGAGTTGCCTATTCTACGACCGAACAACCGCAGTGGATATGATGATAAGTATGGTCCAGAAGGGTGGGCTACAGAACCATTAGCGAGGTTACAGTGATAAACAGATATGTAGAATACAAATAATAAAAAAATTAAAATTAAAATTGAATATTGAACAAATTTGAAATTAAAAAATCAAAAATAAACAGTTAACACAATGATTGAAAATTAAACTACAAATTTACAGTATAGAAAATTAAGTTAACAAGTAAAATGTGACACTGTTAAGTAACTTAATAAGTTAGAATTAATTGGATAAATATAGAGTGTTAATTATTACTGAAACAAATGTGACTAGAAAGAAATAAAAGGAAATGAACTGAATTAAGTATATTTTAATTTAGTGGTTATTTCCAAAGTGTTCTAACTAAAGGGTTGAAATTACAGTTTAAATGATTTTTAGTATTTAGGTAATTACCAGAATTCAGGTTCATCTCGCGATGGACCTCCAGACCCTCCAGTAGGTCAATTTTCTTAAAGTTATTGATGGAACACTGAGTATTTTTAAAATATTTTAATCATTTAATTTAAAGGTCTTTTATTTGCTTTATTTCATATTATTAAGTGAAATCCTGTATATCCTGACACTGGGACTGAATATCCTGTATATGTTCACGTCCACCAGATGATTTATCTTTTAAGGGCCCTTTTCAAGATAAATGTAAAGATTTTAATATTTAAAGGATAGTTTAGTAAAAGGTTAAAGTACAATTTAAGTAATAATAATAATAATAATAATAATAATAGTTTGTAAAGCGATACTTTCTTCACCAGCGCATAGGATTTGGGCACGAGCACTTGGGCAAATGCCGTAAATCAAATAAGTGCGAGTAGTGCTTTGCGCACATGTTGAACACTATATTTTTTCTACAACATTTAAAAAGACATAATAATAATATTAAATACTAAATACTAAATACTAAAATTAGAATTAGATCAATTCTGTTTATTTATTCCAAGGTTTTGTTAAATTTTCTTTAATAGTAGTATAGCAATATAGTCTTTTCTAGATTTTTTTAAAAATATCTGAAGGTGTATTTTTCATGTTCACTGATAAATTTAGATAAATTTTTGTGTCCAGAGAACAAATATATAATGATAAACATAATTAAGATACAAATATTACTGTAAACAATTAAAATATTTGTATATACATACAGTAATGACAAACATAAAATTCCAAATACCTATTTAATTTTCAAATGTTTTGACGCTACACCTAATTCTTCATAGAATACAAAATAAATACAAACCATCAGAATACTCTTAAAAAAAGTAGGTGCTCAAATATGCATCAATGTCAAATATGTTTGGGGTCTAAATGGTAAATAAACAAAATAGTTACTATGCGCACACTTAATAAAAAGCTCTTCTTTATTTTTTACTTCTAGAAATGCTGTGTTGTCATACGTCATGTTTAGGAACTCTTAATGGATGTTGTACCTATTTCAGTAAATGCATTTAATGAATTCGTAAACGCACAGTAATTGTATCCAGTAGGTATTCTTCATTTTGTTCATTATTCAATATAATTGTCTGACCTTAATAATTGCAAAGCTAATCTCGAATGGGCACTAAGGAAGAAATTTAATTGATGGAAATACTAAATTATCTTCTGATTGAATTTCAACCACTTTTTTATTATTAACAAAAGAACTAACGATAATGGTTTTAATATCAATTGTTTCCTGCATATAAATAATTTATATTTATTTATTCATCGTTAAGGCTTTATAATTCACATTATTATAACTTCCTACTTATTAATTTGCATCCGTTCATCTTAAACAATATAAACGATCTTATTTTAATTGTGTATGTTATGCATTATTAACTCCAGAAACGGTTTGAATATTTCTTATTCATTATTTCTTTTCATTTATTTATATAGTAACCAAGGAACCCATCCGTAAAATTGATAAACCATACTTTGGTTACTAAACTGCTGTTTTTACATCGGCAGCTGTCATTCAGTTTAATTTTTTTATTGTACCAAAAATATCTAATTATTCTGATGTAGAATTATATTTTTTTCAGTAGGTATTAATTTAGTCACATGTTGCACCAGACCCAACTTCTAATAGGCAGTATTCTCGATTTATGTACTTTGGTTGTTTCTCGCTACAAACTTTGTCCGATAAAACTTTTACATTAAACTTATTTCACGGTTTCATTCCTACCCTTCGGCGGAGCATATAACTCGCTTTAAAAATTTGCAAACTCACTTAACACTTCGAAATTAAAAAGAACAAGATGACTAGTAAATGGAAAAAACTTCCAAATTGCAGTTTCGTTTCGAAGTGCAAAACTTGCAAAACTTGACCAGATATTACTTGGAAAAGTTTTTCTCGCAATTAGTTTTACTAATGTTCACTTTTACGGTAAAATTACCTTTCATATCAACATTCTAAAAAAGTATAGATGTTTAAAAGAAAGGTTAAATGAGAAAGACCATGATTTTTTTAGGACTTAGACTATTCAAAATATTATTTTCTGTAACTCTACACAATAGTGCGACAGTAATACAGCTTTATGTAATACACAGAGTAGTGACAGGAAATAACCAACTGACAACAGTAATACTGCAGTTTTACAAATTATCTAATTATCGTATGAAGATACAATTATTTTTATGTAAAAAGTGTATGTCTATAAACTCCACTTAACAAACTCAACCACTACCAGAACCTTAGATGAAATGTTAATAATGTTTGGCATTAGAAGTCTATAGATTCTTATACTGGGGTTTTCAATCTAGATGGGTATCTTTGTAAAATGATCGATAATCTCATTTTCCTAATCACACCCACTACAGAGTGCGGAGTTTGACAAACCCATGCTGTGAAAGTGATTCTGTATTTGGCAGTGACCAGCAAGAATGCCTGTGATCAAGCACAGATTCTGCCTAATTATAGTTAAGTATTTGTTTGCTGTACTATTATCAGGATAACTGAAAAACTGCAACTTCTTTTTTAATTGTCAATTGGGTTTTCGGTACCCAGAAAACTGGACCGTATGTTAGCATGATTCTATGATGGCCGTGTAGGCCCATGCGATGACTCTGGGGAAGAAATCCTAGGCGCAACATAGTTTGGCAGTATTGTTTATAAGCAGTTTATAGGCTGTGTTCGGGTGTCTGGAAAGCTTAGATGTTTCGGTTGTTCCTGTTCTTTGCTTTAACGCTGGTACGTGTTCATCCCCTGAGAATTCTGGTCGACTTTCATCCCAGAAGGGTCAAACCATTCCAAATTTTAGTAAAAATCCTTAGGTCGTAGCCAAGATGGCGCCATACAAAATAAAAAAAATAAATAAAAAAAAAACACTAAATAATGTTGTACTATGTGATCTTGATAACTAAAACTCTTCTGGTCCTCTTCTTTCTTTTTCTCTATGGCTTCGATTTCAATTGATTTATCAGCTTCTCTGACTCCTGCTCTGTCTTCTTTCACTGCTCTTCTCTGCCTTCTCTTCTGACTCCTGCTTTTATGTTTATGTTTAATTTTTGTCAAAATATAACTAATTACAAAAAAAACTTAATTTCTATCTCTTACAATCCTTTTCAAAAACTCTTATGATAGTTAGTTCTCCCCTCAATTTAATAATCTAGTTTTTCTAACATCAATCTTTTTTAAAAACAAAATCCATTTAAAAAAAAATCACATCGTCGCCATCCCTAATGCATCTCCGGATAACTTTTTGACGCCGACGCTACAGGACGGAAATATGACACCTTTACTTGGCATTACACGTCAAAAAATGAATTAAGACACATTATTGAGGTCATTATTCTTCTATTAATGTTATCCTGAATACCATTCTAGCAAACCAAATTTAAAAAAATCTCAACGTAAAAATCTGGTCCCATAACAAATATAATCTCAAAAATGAAATCATCGGACAATTCAAGAGACTCCCCAAATAATCAAGATAAGTCACAGAGCCCGCTGTGTATGCCAGATCTACCACTACCCACACCTCCTCCAATGGCAAACATAATGATGACGTCGCGGTTCGATCTTCAAACGAGAGGGGGTTGCGGATACAGAAGAATTTTGAGCTCGAGAAGTACCGAGTTCCGATCACCTCTTCTGAGTAGAGCAAATTTTGCTCAACATTTTGATAACCAAAGCCCCTTACCGTCAATAAGAAAATTTGGAAATGGTACTGAAACATTGGGTCTATCGCCATTACCGAGGCATAGAAATTTTGAAGATCTTTCAGTAAATTTCGACGATTTCCGAGATATAAGTAGCCTGAGCAAATTGGATTATGCTAACCCTAGAAGCAAGTATCTATCGAGAGATTCCGTCCTTTCCGAAGAACTAGAAGAAGTGCAAATGGTTTCTAGGGAGATATCATCGAAATTCAACCAAACTTACGCTGAAATATCTCCAGAGTACCAAAGCGTTTTTTATAACGAGCACTACATGTCGGATATTGACGAAAACGAAGAGATCAAAGAATTCATCTGCGCTTACAAGACCCCTGAAAGACGGTTCTCAGACAATTCGGATAAAACGTACGATAGAACTTACGATAAAAACTGTGATAAAACGTTTAGTTGCAACACGTTGCCTTCTTTGAGTTCACTTAGGACTAACAAACATAAAACGGGACATGTCAGTGCATTTGGTGGTAGCAGTGGTTCGATTAAAAGTTCAGATTATTATATGTGTAGTCCCATGGGAGGTAGAAGGCACGAACAGTTGGAAAATTGCCAGAACATCGTCTTCAAGAGCCCGCAAAGAACGGTTATCAAGATTGCAAAAGTCAGGTTAGTTTTCCAGTGTTTTTTAAATCAAAATTTATGTAAGTATAACGTGCTTCACTTACTTTTATAATATGCAGTTGAGATTTTATTTAGTCTAGGAAAGAATATTAATGGATGTGTTAGGAAATTTAAAATCATGGTGCAGTTTTTCAGATAATTTAAATTAGGGCAAGTGACAAATATACAGTAAAATATTAAAAATATAAAAAATAATAAATTAGTAGATACATATAAAATAATTACCAAAATATTATAATTTAAATATATTCATAAATTTTTTTTAAATCTAGAGCCAGGTTATTTATTTATTTACGGGCTAGCCCGTTTAAGTTACAAATTACAATTTTAAAATTAATTAAAATATAAAAAATATTTTTCTACGATCACTATCCAAAGTAGGCTTGACGTTTTCCGCGAACTGACATTAAGTGACAGCTTTGTTGCTCGCCTAGTTTAAATTAGCTTAAATATAAAGGGTGAACCATTAATAAGGGCCGATCTGAATTGTAAATAAAACGCAATGTATTTAGGAAATTGTTTTAATTTTATTTTCTTATGATAGTATTGTGATGTTTGTTTATTTTAAGCAAATGTTTATTTATTAATAATTTATTTAAACACTTATTTATTTTATAACACTATTTTAATTTATATATATATATATATATTTCGAATGTCTTTGAATCGTTCACTATTTATATTCACCACTGTCTATCTGCTAATGACTTTTTGTTGATCCTCCACCAATATTTATATACAAATTGGTAATTCCAGAATGCTCCTCCACCAAAACATTTCATATCCGTAATATACCAGAAACAGTATCACGTTGACTCAGGAAAGTGCCTCCGCCATAGTCGTCACATATCTTTGGTCTTAAGAGGTTTTATTATGTAAGGATAAGTTGAGCCTCAAAGGCCAAATAAGACAGAGAGGGACTTGGAGGATTAGAGCATGACTGAATAATGAAATGGCTCACATAACAGTATGGTTAAAGACAATTATATTTGAAACAAAATATTGGCTAAATGTTCGCCATGGCTTCCGCGGAACACCTCCATTCAATGGTCTATATTTTCGATGACGCTTAGGCATAATTGTCGTTAATGTGCCGAGTTATATCAGCTCTTGAATTGTTGTAGGCTTATCGACGTACACCTTTTCTTTCCAATAATCCCAAAGAAAGAAGTCCATCGGTGTCAAATTGCATGACCTTGGCGGCCAATTGACATTACCATTTCGTGAAATAATATGGCCATTGAATTTTTTGCGTATAAAACCATTGTTTTGTTAGCTGAGTGGCAAGTGGCACCATCTTGTTTTAACCACCTATCGTCCAGATCCATATCTTCCAATTTCAGCCACCAAAAGTTCGTTATCATCTCGCGATAGTGAACACCATTCACGATAACTGTTTGGCCGACATCATTTTTGAAGAAGTACGACCCGATGATGCCGCCAGCCCATAAACCGCACCAAACAGTCACTCTTTGTGGATGCATCGGCTTTTCCACAAGAACTCTTGGATTCTCTTTGCCCAAATGCGACAATTCTGCTTGTTGACAAATCCACTGAAGTGAAAGTATGCCTCATCGCTAAAGATGATTTTTTTTCGTAAATTCCACATCCACTTCAGTGTGTTCGAATAACCATTCGGCATATTGACGACGTTTCAAATGGTACGTAGGTTTCAATTCTTGAGAAAATTGAACCTTAGCTTGGAAATTCAGGTCTTTTTTTTAAAATTCGCATCAGAGAGGTCTGTGAGATGTGCAATTGTTGAGCACGATGTCGAGTCGAGGTTGACGGCTCTTTTGCCATACTTTCGCGAACAGTAGCAATGTTCTCCGCAGTACGAACTCTACGAACACGCTCAGGTGTTTTCACATCTCCTACAGACCCGGTTTTCTGAAATATAAGCACAATTTTTCCGATTGTCGATTATGCTGTCCAAAAAGTGCACAATATGCATTTTTATTTGAACGCCCATTTTCATAAAAAGCTTCAACCACCTTAACGCGTTCCTCAATGGTGTACCTATCCATTGTTGAATTTGCCAACGACTGAATGTTAGAAACGCTACACGAAATGCCACACCAAATTTGACGTTTAAGTGTGGTTCACAATTAACATCGGCCCGTACGGCTGGTTCACCCTTTAGGTAATAATATTTATTTTAAATAAATGATTTTCAAGTTATTTGTACGTAGTTACATGTTTTTTTTATGTTATCCAAGTTAACATGAACTTTGAATATCAACTCCATTTTACATGATTAACATATTTATAGGCAATACATTATACACTACTTAAAACAAATTTTTAGTCTTTATATCTATTTCTTTTGAGCGAAAAGTTTGTTGCCGCTTTCGACAGATTGCTGGGCCCCGCTACGCGTCGCGCGGGCAACTTTCTCAAGCGACAAAGTATCACTTTTCGCTCTTAATACACAAATACCTATGATGGTGCTGTATTAGTACAAACAAAGATGCTGTACGTGCCTACAGACTAAGAGCATTAAAAGTTTGTTTTAATCTATAAAAAGGCAGATCAAATGTTGCAGTTGCCTAGTTGAACGAGTTTAAACAAGAATATTTATGTTTGCAGGAATTTTAGGACCTTTGCATCTACCATTAATAATATTAAATAGCAAAGTGAGGGCTCTTGGTTTTCGCCTAGTTTTCATGGAGGGGATGTTTAAAAATTGTTTTCCTACTAACTAAAAACAATGGTCAGTGTGGAATTTGACTAGTGAGCACTAAAGTACCTAAATTGCAGTTATGTCAGTATGACAGAAAATAGCCAACATTATCATGGGTTTCTGGATAGTAGCAAATATGTGTTTATTAAAGCTTAAAATAGATTCTAGAATAATTTCAAAGTCTTTAACTTGATTAACATAGATATGTTTTAGTCAAATGTAGTTGGAAGTAGATGTGAACTGTAAACATGCATGATGTCATTCAAACAACACCATTCTGATTGATTATCGAGGTCAGACTAAAGTCTTAAGGGCGTCATAATGGGTTTAAACAATTTGTAAGAGTCTTCTGCAAATAATAAATCTTTGCTGCTACGGAAACAATAAATAATATCATTAATAAATTAGGTAAATAATTAGGGGTCCTAGGTGCAACTCCTGAGGAACAACTAGGGTAACAAGTTAGAATAGTGGTGATTAACTCTAACCATTTGAGTTGTATTAGTAGTAAGAAAACTACCATTGCACTAACCCCACTCACACCATATTTGTTAAGATTTTGAAGAGGAAGATTATGTTCAACTCTGTTAAAAGCTTTGGAAAATTTAGTTTACAGAAAATTTATTTGTATATGTGAGTAGAATTAACTGTGTTAAAGGAAATATCGCGTTCACTAATAATTAAAATATTTTTGGCACCCACTTTAATGTACACTTTTCAGAATAACATTCTCTAGATAGAAGTTTACATTATGATCATAGCTGATTAATATTTTATAAATTTTGGGTCCTGTTATGTTTATAAAACCTATGAGCAACCAAGCTCCTAAGTTGCGAGGAATGCCAATATGGAATTTTTTTCTTAGATACTTTTTTTAAGGGTTACAAATAACTTAATTACGGCAGACAGAGTATCATAAAAAGTGAAAATCATCTATATTGTTATTTAGTTTCCATAGTAGGGTGATAAGCTTCAGGTGGGATTATTATATTATCGGATAGGAGCACTGTTAGTTCAACAGGGGACAGAACGAGGTCAAGAATAACTTCCCTTGTGTTGAATACATTGTAATACTGGAATATGTTGTACAACGCACATATATTTTAATAGAACTTTCTGGAAATTTGAATTATCAGTAAATAAACACAAATATTTTATAGAATTTAGTTCCCCACCAATGTTCCAGCAGACTTTTAAACCTTCTTTTGGCTTTAACGCCTAACCGTTTACTTTACATTTTTAACAGACTTCAAAAAAAGAAAGAGGTTCTCAATTCGTCAAAATATTTTTTTAATGTATGTTCAGCAATAATTCTTTAACTCGTCCGATTTCTATGATAATTTTTTTTTAGAAAGGTTGTACCTCAGGTGTTGTCGGCCCTATATAATTTGGTCAAAATCTGATAATGGGATTCATGAGAAAATCATCAAACTCTGCATTTTTTAGGTATATCAGGCGATTTTTTTAGCACTTTTTCTCGATTTCTATGAATCTTTTTTTAGAATCTTTTTTGTGTGTGTCATTGGCTTCAACTACTAAGGTTATTTAGCCTCGTGTTATGTGTAGGCTTTGTTACTGTTTCCCTGTGCCACTTTAGGAACAGCACTGTTAATTTGTGAATGGTCGAGGCATCAGAATTAATTTTAAATAATAAAATTAAATAAAAAAAATTCTGGCCAACGGTGGGATTCGAACCTGAGACCTTTGGATCCGCAGGCAGAGACTCTGCCACTAAGCCACCCACCCCCACTTGTTCACATCTATAATTGGTTAAAATGTATTGATATATTGTCTACCTCTTCAACTTTAAATATAAATACATATAAATGATCAAATCCAGTATGTATGAACCAATAACCATGATGGCGGGTGGAGTTCTCCTCACCTCGAAGTCAAATCGCCCCAGAGTGTCACGGCAAATTAATAATAAACCATCCCTACCACTCACAAGCTCTACTTCTGGAATTAAAATTAACTCTTAATGTGAATAGGGAGATTATTATTATTAGCTCTAGATATCTTACCACAATGCCAATGTTTTGGCTAATTTGAATAATTTAAGATAATAAACACAAGCTGTGATATAAAATAAATATAGAATGATAACAGGGGTAAAAACTGCCGATGTTTCTCAAAACCACCCTTCAGAAAAATGTCAGAATGATTATATCCATACTTCATACAGACGCTATGGTTGAAACCCGGATTTACTGGATTACGGTTAACCAAAAACGCCATTAATATGACTAAAAGGTAATTTCATGCTCAGATTTCACATGTCCCTGCACCGGCTGTGGAATAA